TGCCCCCCCCCCGGGCCTCGGGCCGCTCCCTGCGGGGACCGCGGTGGCCGCGCGCCCCGCCGCGCTGCGGACCCCGCCCCTCCGGCGCGGCCCGGCATCCAGGGAGCTGACCAAGGGGTGCAGCTGAGCGCTCCCCCTCGAGGATAGCCCGAGGGGCGCCTGGTCCGCCAGCGAGGAAGGGGGCTGGGGCCTGAAGTCAGCGCCCTGGCGCCTCGCCAGTCTGGGGGCGAGGGGGCGCAGAGCGGTTATTGCCCCAGGGTTGGCGCCCCTCGGGGCCGCCGGCGCCGCAGCAGCCGTAAACATGTGTGTGAGGCAGCCTCGCCCCTTCCCACCCAGGGGGCCTCTTCCCCAGGCGTGGGACCTCCGTTGCCCTCCGTGCACCTGCTCGGCCCTGCTCGATTCCTCCTACTGCCCTAATTGGACAGGCACCTAGACAGCCTCCCACTCTTTCTACCCTCCACCCCGCCACTACAACACCACCTCCCCCTCCCTCCCGCCGTCCTCAAGTCCAGCCCAGCTTGTGGGTGGGCGGGAGTGATTTTTAGCTTCTTGCAGTTTTAGAAGATGTTGGTCTTGAGGCTGCGCAGGCGCAGGGGACGCGGGTCCACTGCTCAGAGTGGGACACTGAGGGTTGCCGTGGAGTGTGGGGAAAGCCGGGGGCTCACACAGACCTCAGGACCTCCTGCCTTCAAGGAGGGAGCAAGTCTGAAGCTGAGAATTCTGCTTGTGTCTTCTGAGGGGGTTAATAGGGACGTTCGGTGTTGTCCCCCAACTGACCCCGAAGGGGAAAGTGATCAAGGTTTCACCCCAAGGCCTCCCTGGAGTCTGGCCCTTCAGAGCCTCCTTGGAATCCAGCTTGGTTATCTGGAGTTTAGATAAAGCAAAGCCTGAACCCAGACTCAGAGTACACCCCCAGCCTAGAGCTTTGGAGAAGACAGAAGGACTCGAACCCTTCCCTAGGGCTTATCCCTCTGGAGGCTCCTCCTGAACCTCCATTTCTGAGGTTGGAGACCACGGGAAGTCGATTGTTTGGTGCAGCAGAGAAAAGGGGGATCAAATAGCAGAGGACTTCCCAAACATCAACATGATGCGGGTGCCAGACATTGATTGGAAAACTAAATTGCTTTTAAATGAGAGCCCGGAATGGCCGGAGTTCAGAGCCCAGTCCCCGCTGAAGTTCACCCGGAATCCCTCCTCCTCCCGGGACGGGGTGGGGAGAATGGGTTCTGAGAAAAGAGAGGGAGCTGCGGCAAAACTAAGAGGAAATGCTGCAGCAGCCTGGCTGAGTCCGCGCCGTCGGGTCCCTGGGAAAAGGGCGGAAAGGGGCGGGGCTTACAAGGGGTGTGTCCCCGCCCTCCAGGCCGGCGCCGACTCCCATTGGCTTAGCGCCACGCGGGACTTCTGTCTCTGGCTCAAGACCCCGCCCCCAGCCCTGATCCTTCCATTCACTCAACCACCCAACCCAAAGCTTGCTCTTAGCCCGGCGACCCTCGTCCGAATCCTCGCCCGCCCCGCACCTCCTCCCGCCTGGCAGAGTTAACCACTTCACTGCCTGGAAATACCTACACGCACTGTGCAAGCCTTTAGGAACTGGCCCACCACCGCGGAGGGCCCGAGGGTCCCCTGTGTGCAGTTGGGATCGTGTATCCCGACAGCGTCCTCAATTCAAAAACCCTGTACACAGCGCCATTCATTAATTCCGGGGAGAAGCAGAACCTACCGGCAGAGCGACTTCTGCAGCTGGGACTGGAGGTGGCGTCTATCAGACAGAGATGCCGAGATTGGAAATTCTGCTCCAGTTTGCTCCGTGGTTAGATCCTAGAATGTCTGGGGGCGCCAGCGGATGCGACTGGATTTAAGAACTTCTTTGAATGATGCTTAAAGGTTCCCCCAGGGCCTTTACCCTCCAAGGCCTGGGTCTGGAACCCTGGGCTTCGCGGCTGGAAAATCCAGGTCTTGATTTTGCTTGGGCCATTGCGGACGCACAGCCTGGTTGACCTGCTCAAGTTGCGGCTCATTCAGGTCGATCCTGCAAAGATAGAGGGAAAACCTGGGCTGGATTTCTGGCCACCCATGGCTCGGGAGGGCAGGGCTGCCCTTGGCTCCATGGAAAAACCCTCTTGCTCATGCGCTGTCATTCTGCCTGTCCATCTATAGGACCCCTGTGTCTGTGACCTAGTAATTGGTCAGCGTTTTTTCTGTACCAGGAACCATGCTAAAACGCTAGGGATCATGCTAAGGGGCTCAGTCTCCAGAGCTCCCAGTCCTCTAGGAGCCCAGGGACTGTTGGAAGGTCCGTTGCCAAGCTCATAAAAAGCAATACTAAAATTTGAACCTGTCGCTATCGGCTTTTGGAGATGCTTGAAAGGGTCTAGGGCAGGCTGCATTTCCCTGTGGTTGAAATCCCTTTGAACAGACCTTTTTTTTTTTTTTTTTTTTGGAGAGGTTTTTGCTATAGGGCACATGCGCTTGCCAGACAGACAGAGAGAGACAGAGAGACAGAAAGCGAGAAATCACCCCCCAGGGGGGATGGTCATGCC